CCCCAATATTCTCCAATCCAAGGCAAAAAGTGAGATGTTGCCCATGTACCTGGTTCTGGCTCTGGCTGGAAAGTTTTGTCTGTGTCTCAGGGAAAGTTTTGTCTTGGAAGGTTTTATCTGCCTGTTTCTCGTGAAAGTTTTGTCTGTTTTGTTGGGAAGTTTTGTTTCTGTGTTTTCCCATGTGTCTGTAAGTTTTATTGCAAGCATGGAGCTGAGACAGAAACAGGACAGATATTTCTGATGTCTCTGCTGCCACCACTGATATGGCTACTTTTATAGTCAGGACTCATAATTTATCTCTGGCCACTGGGTTCAAGTCACTGGGCTTTGAGATGTCTTTTGGGTGTGTATGACATTAAAGTGGTTTTTATGCCATTTAATTTTATTGGAAAGCTGGAGCTAGACTTGGCTTATGGCTCTCCCTTCTTTAGACCCAAGCATATTGGAAAGTTTCCTCTATGTCCTGTGTCAGTTGACTCACCTCAGGCAACAGCAGGGAAAAGAAAGCAAAGTGGGGCAGTCCCCCAGAATTAGATTTGGTTCATGTGAATATTCTGTACCTCAAGATTTATAAGTTCTTTTATTGGATATGGTTAAAAGTCTAAAATCTATGAAGAAAGTTAGGTTAAAACTAGTAAGAATCGAGTTGAGGCTTCAAACTCTATGCATAGGAATCTTAAAGGAACCATGAGGCATGATTTCCTTTTGGAATATAAGCAACTCATGTATTGCCACCATATTTGGGCAGCCACATGGCTGGCAACCACATGGCGGCAGCCATCTTTGTTAGTGTTGGAGAGGATGGAGCTCATGTGACATCACCATCTCTGGGCAGCCACATGGCTGGCAGCCATTTTTGCTATGGTTGGGGAAGATAGATGTCATTTCAGTTCATCATCTTGATTAAAGGTGTCCTGGCAGCGTGGGCCTACCAGGGAGATAACAATAGATCTACAAGATATTTGGATTAGGATGGAATTTGGGGTGATAATTCCCGCCCTGTCCTGTCCTAAAAAAACAAGGCTTATGAAGGATAGTATTTAAAAACATGCTTGTTAATAAGGAATTAAAGCTGAACCACCAAGCCTTCATATGCAAGCCTTGCACTGGCAGCCAAACTTTGTAACATAGAGTAACCCAAGTGACAATGGTTTGAAAGACATAAAGGGGTCATGGGGAATAGCTGAGACTCACAAATGTGTGGCAGGACCACAGTTCCTAAAGAGAGCCCAGTTGCAACGGTGGACCCTAGCAGTTGGGGAAATGTTGGTGCCATGTGATAGTCACCAGATCTTCCATGCCCCAACTCCTAACAGTGACCCTGAGGTCTCCAAAGAAGATGGCAGGGCAGTACGACAACTCTACCTGGATCGTGTTAATGCTACCCATGGGAAAAGACTGTCCCAAGGCTGCACCAGTCGCCAGAATCCGGCTCAATCTGTGGACAAGCAGGACATTGAGAGCTCATCACCCCGCTTTGTCTAGACAAAGTAAGATCAGTCCCCACCCTGTTCCTACTCCACAGGAAAGCTTCTCATCTCCTGGCTGTGGTGGCAGAAGACTGATGCTATCCTGGTACCTTTGCCCCCATATCATGGAGACCACATGAATCTGAGATGACTGTCTGGGTAATAGACTAGTCTCTGTCATTTTAACTGAAGCATGTTTGGATTCACCTCTCTGCTGTCATTTGTCCTCCTCGGGTCTCTGATGGTGTCGACAGCTAGGCCGACTGTATCTTTATCCGTTTAGCAGCAGCACGTAACCATGTTCTTCCCCAAGGCTGCAGCCATCCTTGGACTCATTTCATGTATAAGAATTGAGCTTCAGTTTTTCTAGAGCTACTAGGTCTCGTTGCCTGTTTAAGAAAAGCTAGACAGGTTTGCCTTGCCAACAGGCTTCATATTAAGAGATAAACAGGTTTCAGATGTAACTTTCCACTGAAGGAACTCAATGATTTGCAATGACTGCTCTCGGTAATAACTCCTGGTGTCTCTGGTAAATGATTAGATGGAAAGGAAAAGGGTTAAAAGTCCATGCAAGTTTTGAGGGTCTAAGAAAATGTTCTAAGATATATAAAGGTCTGAGGATCTAAGTGTTCTAAGATAAAGGTCTGAGACTGTGAAAGTTCAAGTAAAAAGTTCCCGGGGCCTAAAAAGAGGATTTATGATGTGTAAATGCGTGTTGGAGAACGCGAGTTAAGATGTGTGAAAAATGGGAAATGCTTCAGATCGCCCCCCCCCCCCATGCTATTGTTACACCAGGATTTCAAAAGTTCAGAGGTTTAACATTGATCAATGGCGTTCTCTTAAGCTGGTTGAGCAGAGTCTGCTTACTGTTTATTCACAAGCTCAAGATTTTAAATTTTCTTTCATTGTCTTCTAAGAATAAGCCTAAAGGTGCTTCTCATTGGGCTAGAGACAACTCTGCCCCATCTATATCTGGTTCTATGGACAGAGGAAAAAGGTATACATGCCTTTTAACCCAAATCTATTGCTTTTGTTAGGACTCAATTGTGTGAGTCATATTCCAACTTTTTTGTTGTGGTTTGCTCTGTTTTGTCTTTGTTTTTAATTTATGGAAGGCTGGCTTGAAACAAGTCAAGCTAAGGATAGGTATTGATAAGTAACAAAAAGTCTCTGTGTATTTATTCGGGAGCTGTGTGGCAGGGCCCCAAAGAGAGAAGAGTATAGGAGTATAAAGCACACACATTTCATTATCACAACCTTAATATTGGCATGTTTTTTTGTCCTCCAGGAGGAGCTTACTTTGCAGGACAGCCATGACAAGCTCAACATAGGCCCGATTTTCGGCAGTTTGCCCTATGGCAACATCTACCTGATTCCAAGAAAGACCACAAACCAAGATCAACCAGGCACTACCCAGAAACAGGCCATCCAAAAGAAATTCCTAATATTCCGACTATTGTAGATAGGATCACCTGCTTGCACACACCCATCACTTTTCACCAGGACACCCCTAGGCAAATGTCAGCTAATCAGAGACATTGAACCTTAGAAATTCCGCACCCCAACCTCTGCTATTATACAAACCCCACCCTTAACTGAGCTCAGGGCTCTCTGATTGTGACAATACATTTGATACATGGAGAGTTCGAGTTCGAACTTGAATAAAAATAAAGGCTCTTTGCTTTTACATACAGGACGAGGTCTCTTTGTTGATTCTGGGGGAACTCCGTACATCTGGGCATAACAATATAAGCTGGGGAGTGTTGTGAACCTGACCATCTATTTGCAAAATAGATGGGGAGAGAAAAGGTAGAAGGGAAGGAGGGGGGACTCGGGGAATCAGGAGAATTGGGATAAAGGAAAGGTGGATAGGGGAGCACGGAACCACAATTCTTAGTTAAGGGAACCACTTTAGGGTGAGCAAGAGATTTACCCTAGAGGGGCTCCCAAGTGCCCAACATGAGGTTCCCAGTTAGTTCCTTGGGTAGCTGAGGATTGGGAACCTGAAATGACCCTATCCGAGAGCAATACTGACGAATATCTTGCATATCATCATAGAACCTTCATCTGGTGATGGATGGAGACAGAGACAGAGACCCACACTGGAGCACTGGACTGAGCTCCCAAGGTCCCAATGAGGAGCAGAAGGAGGGAGAACATGAGCAAAGAAGTCGGGACCACGAGGCGTGCACCCACCCACTGAGACAGTGGAGCTGATCTACTGGGAGCTCACCAAGGCCAGCTGGACTGTGACTGAAAAAGCATGGGATAAAGCCAGACTCTCTGAACATGGCGAACAATGAGGGCTGATGAGACGCCAAGGACAATGGAACGGGGTTTTGATCCTACTTAATGTGCTGGCTTTGTGGAAGCCTAGCCAGTTTGGATGTTCACCTTCCTAGATATGGACGGAGGGGGGAGGACCTAGGACTTGCCACAGGGCAGGGAACCTGGACTGCTCTGTGGACTGGAGAGGGAGGGGGAGAGGAGTGGGGGGAGGGGTAGAAGGGTGGGAGGAGGGGGAGGGAGATGGGAGGCTGGGAGGAGGTGGAAACTTGTTTTTTGTTTATGTTTTTTTTCTTCTTTTCTTAATAAAAAAATTATAAAAAAAAAAAAAAAATAAAGGCTCTTTGCTTTTACATACAGGACGAGGTCTCTTTGTTGATTCTGGGGGAACTCCGTACATCTGGGCATAACAATATAAGCTGGGGAGTGTTGTGAACCTGACCATCTATTTGCAAAATAGGCACAACTGAAATATACTTTTGATAATTGCTATGAAGTTTGATTAAAGTCCTATGTGACCAATATCTGAGCTAGTTAGATTACATTAAATGTATTCATTACAGTACTATATAGCTATCATGTTTCAGTATTCTCCAAAATCCCATTTCTTCACCAAACTCTTAAGGAAACTCATGTGTTTTGAGAAGTCAAAGGTATTTCATCATGATAGTTATAGCTTTGGCAATTCATGAGCATATCCCTTTCCTCCCAATGCTCTGCACGCTGAAGATTTCTACACACCTTGGCCTAGCTGGCCGGCTAGTCTGCCAGGAAACACAAACTCAACAGTCATGACCTTCTCTAGGCATAAAATCCTAATAGAACACAAAGGCCCAAGGGGTTCAACCTTTCACTTAGAAAGCAGCTTGTTACAGACACGTGGTTCACTTCGCCAGCATCCGGGTCTCAAAGCCAACGAGTTCTCCCCAGTGCAGACACACCCTCCTACCCACAACCAGGGACAGGAGGAGGCGCACAACCCTGACCGGGAAAGCTACAAGCTCCTGCAGCTCCAGTGTGAGCTTGCACAGGTTACTGTGATCTCTCCTTGTCCCCCTGGACAGGTCGGAGAGCACTCCTGGCGCCAGCAAGGCGGCTTGGGTGCAGCACCAAACTTCAAGTTGGGGAAGACAATCCTGAGCAGGTAAAACAACTCTCGTTTGGTCTGCACGTTGCTGCTGATCATCTTGCCCTCAGCGCCCTGGACTGGTCCTGGAGAACATTGCTCTCACGAGCCCGCCTCACCTCATCGAGACCAGGTTCGGCTGCCAGCACAGCCACCGCCAGCATCCCGCGCAGGTCCACCGTGCCCCAGTCGGCTGCCAACTCCACCCCAGTCCGCCTGTCCGCTTGCCGCCCAGACCTTAGAGGCTGAAGCTGCCGGCCAATGAATCCAAGTAGAGGTGGTAGAGCACCCCGAGTCCCAGCAGGAGAACATAGCCACATAGGTGGAGACAGGTCGATGCCCATGGGGGCCATGGAGCGCGACAGGAGCTAGGACCGACTCAGACCCGCCACTAAGTCCCCTACAAGGACACCCGCTTCCGGGATCCTGCGCGCGGGCAATCACCACTGCTCAGGAAAAACAGTGAGGCTGCCTGGCCACCTTACAGCAACACAGCTCGCCTAGCAGTAGCCTGCAGCCTGCCCTTCCGCATAGACCAATGCCAGGAGGTGAAGGGGGAAGGAGAGTATGTATCCGGTTACGGGTTATGGGGGGAGGGAGGGAGAAAAGCCCCAGCAGTTTTATAGACATCTGTTGCCTGTTTTGTACAGTGTGGATTTCAGATCGGTAATGCTAATATATCTAAAACCTTTATGGCCTTTTGTAAAAAAAAAAAAAAAAAAAAAAAAAAAAAAGAATTGGGTAAACTTCATAAAATCTAGGGAGTCATAAGACTTGGACCCACTTCTCACAGGTCAAAAAAACTGCAGGTAAGAACAGCCTAAGTTTTCCCCACCTGCCTATTCCTGAGGATGGGATCTCTCTCTCTCTCTCTCTCTCTCTCTCTCTCCTCTCTCTCCTCTCTCTCTCTCTCTCCCCCCCCTCTCTCTCCTCTCTCACTCTCTCTCCTCTCTCTCTCCTCCCTCTCTCTCTCTTCTCTCTCACTCACTCTCTCTCTCCTCTCTCACTCACTCTCTCCTCTCTCCTCTCTCACTCACTCTCTCTCTCCTCTCTCTCTCTCCTCTCTCTCCTCTCTCTCTCCTCTCTCACTCACTCTCTCTCTCCTCTCTCTCCTCTCTCTCTCTCTCTCTCTCTCTCTCCCCCCCCCCACTCCCTCCCTCTCTCCCTCCCTCGTCTTGGTACTCCTCCCATCCCCAGACTACTAGGGCTATGAACCTGAAAGTTCCAAATGTAAGGCAGTGGTGGTTTGAAAATCAATGGCCCTCGAACGGAGTGGCACTATAGTAGGAAGTGTGCCCTTATAGTGGCCTTGTTGGAGAAAGTGTGTCACTGTGGAGGTGGGCTTTAAGGTCTCATATATGCTCAAGCCAGGCCCAGTGTCTCAATTCACTTCCTCTTGCCCGTGGGATGAAGATGTAGCTCCTCCTCCACTCTCAACTCCTTCTCCAGCACCATGTAGGCATGGTGTCACCATGTCACACCATGATAATGAACTAAACCTCTGAAAGTATAAGCCACCTCAATTAAAATGTTTTTCCTTCATAAGAGTTCCCATGGTCATGGCGCCTCTCTTCACAGCAATAGAAATCCTGGCTAAAACAAAGAGGACTACAACCTGCTCCAAACAGCTGTGAGCCCTGGATATGCTAAAAGCTGGCGTGGAACAGTCCAGCCAAAGGGATTGCTCCCTGGTTTTTGAGCTGGGTCAATGGATCGGATGATTTTGATGAATGCCCCATTGCCTGAATTCCCTCCTTGCCTTTGAATAACATTCCAGCCCTCCTGGACCCTGACAACAATGTCTTAGTTTCAGGAGGAAGTAGTTAGAGAAGAGAGTATGTCATCCCTTGTTCCCCAATAAGCTGGAATATTAAATCAAAATGATACTCCCTGCATAGGTGATAAAATAGCTACCTATACTGCCTATTGGTATGTCAGAAAAAGGCACCTGTTAAAACGAAATAGACCCAGATCTATTAACAAGTAAATTCATTAGCTGAAATACTTCTACAATATTATAGGGTACTCAACCTGCTCTATGTAATACAGAGGATATCGTATGACTTTAAGAGAAAAAATGTTTCTATATAAACCACTCAAGAATAATTAAAGATAATCTGGCTGTATTCTACAAAAGCATTGCAAAAAAAAAAGGAGACCTGAAATGAAATAAATAATTGGTCCCATTCTCATTTCCCAACCCCTTCTATATAGTAACTCTGATTAAGAGCCATCACAGGACATTTGGACCTTCTACTTCTGCTCATTGCTGTTGGCTCTTATATCATTGATGCCATAACTAAATGATAATTCCTGACTGAGTAACATTAAACTGATGAACATTAGATTCATATATATATATGAATATATATATATACTCAATTGGAGAGAGTCAGAGATAAATTCTAATTAAATTACTATGCATAAGACATCTATGAAACCAAAATGCCCCTGGCCTGCAATCCCCTTGCCCAAGGACAGAAGGACAGATGCTCTTGAAATACCAGAGGCTATTATTTATGAGAGATAGCATCCAAATGTATCCACCCTTTTAAACACAGTTATTTGACCCATCCATACTTGATGTACTTAATCTCATGTAAGCAAAAGGTATGGGGTCAGGAAATATGTCAGGATGTTTCTTTAATTGTATATAGGCAGGAAGTACACAGGCAAAAAGTAGGGTGGGAGGCATCATTCCATCTGATTGAACCTGATAAGAAATGTGGTGAACTGGGTGTTTTGTCTTTTTAAACCACTGTAAAATGTGGCCTGGGGGGCATTTCCTGGGAACCTGGGTATGGACATGGACAGAGCGCATCCTCCTGAGCACTGTAAAATTAAAGCTTGCTTCAAATTTCCCTTGAAACTGTGATAGTGGTCTTATTTTCCACCAATAGAGTTAACCAAACAAGACCCTATATCTGAAGAGGAGAGGTCATCCAAGGGAACAGCACAGGTCTTTCAGTGAGGTCCTCCATAGAAGCAGGAGGGGCCCAGAAGTGTGGTCTTTTTTGAGAACAGAAGCCCCTATGTGAGGCCTCCTTAGGATCAGCAGAGTCCGGCTGGGGAACAATCTTTTTGTACACTGTGAATATTGGTTATACTCATTGGTTTAATCAAGAGCTGACTGGCATATTAGCTAGGCAGGTTAAGGTTAGGTGGGAGGACCAGACTAAGATGACTCTTGGACAAAGAAGGGTTGAGAGAAGGAGTCACCAGGAGATACAGAGAGTAGCAAGATAAACATGCTGTACTGAAAATAGGTACGGCATCATGGCAGAGCATAGATAAGAAATATGGGTTACTTTAAGTTGTAAGACGTAGTAACAAACTTAAGCTATGAGCATTAACAGTTAATAATAGATCTCTGTGTTGTTATTTCGGAGTTGACAGTCCCAATAAAAACCTCTGTCTATGTATGGTCCCCACTGTCAAGCAACATATAGCCACATAAAACCAAGCAAAGCTTATAAAAGGAGTCTAAACACAAAAATGGAGCCAAACACCACTTCCTAGTCTCATGTCCCTCATTCTGAGTTGTGATACAGAGACACAGCTTCCAGTCACTGCCTGCAGGCTTGTACTGCCGGATTGAGCCCAGCCAACACAGCATGCCATGAGCTAAGCCACATGGTGGGTTTAAGCTTTGTTCATGTAGACAACAAAGATTACAGATACACAGCAAAAACAGATCCAGGTTTGGGGGGGGGGAGACCTCTAAACAGGTTACAATGTGTTTAAAAATGTACAAAGTCATGGGAGAGAAAGGAGAAAGTGTATAGATGCTCATAGAAAAAAATTAGTTTAAAAATAATAAAAGTGAGTCCTTTAAAAAGGAATAAAGTAATACAAAAGGAAAAGGCCATCAAGAGATGTAAAATACACGGGGAGTCTGGATCCTGAGTGTTATTGTGCTGTCTTTAAATTTTTTGAGTGGGCTAAAGAGATGCCTCAGCAGTTAAAATCACTAGCTGCTGTTCTAGAGGTCCTCAGTTCATTTCCCAGCAGCCACACGGTGGCTCACAAGCATCTGTAATGAGGTCTGGCGCCCTCTTCTGGCCTGCAGCCATCCATGCAGACTGAATACTGTATACACAATAAATAAATAAATCTTTATAAAGAATAAAATCACAGAGCAGTCCTGGTTCCCTGCCCTGTGTTAAGTCCTAGGTCCGCCCCCCTCCGTCCATATCTAGGAAGGTGAACATCCAAACTGGCTAGGCTCCCACAAAGCCTTCTGGAGAGGGAGGGGGAGAGGAGTGGGGGGAGGGGGAGAAGGGTAGGAGGAGGGGGAGAAGGGTGGGAGGAGGGGGAGAATTGTGGGAGGAGGGGAAGGGAAATGGGAGGCTGGGAGGAGGTGGAAACTTGTTTTTTGTTTATGTTTTTTTTTCTTCTTTTCGCAATAAAAAAACTCAAAAAAAAAGAATTAAATAATAAAAAAAAAGAATAAAATCAAATTTTTGATTGCTGATAAATCAGTGGTGGCTGCTAGGACACTTTGGGTTGATGGAGTTAAAGACTAAATAATTAGACTTAAAGTTTTCTTAGTTATGATTAAAGGTAAATTAAATATAAAACTTAATAGGTATAGTGGAGGCCCATAAGTTGAGGCCCTCCTTGGGAACAGCAGAAGCCCATAATTGAGACCTTCCTTTAGAACAGTAGAGTTCTATATGTGAGGTCTCCATAGGCACAGCAGAGGCCCATAAACAAGGTTCTTCTTGTGAACAACAGGGGCCCCTAATTGAGGACCTCCATGGGAACAGAAGATGGACATCTGTGAGGCCCCTGTTGCAACAGCAGAGGCCCAGAGGGGAGTCCCTCCTTGGGAGCAGCAGAGGTTCACAAGTGAGATCCTCAATTACAGCAGCAGATGCCTTGGGAAGAGTAGTGGCCCACCGAGGTCCTCCCTGAGATCAGCAGAGGCTCAGCACTGAGACCCTCCACAGTAGAAGCAGCCTAAGAAACAAGCAAGTGCTTCAGTTAAAAGCATTTGCTTGGCTGGCTTCCAAGTCCACAGCAGACATACCCAGAGAAGACCCTCCCTTTCCAATCCCACTCAGAAGATGTGCTACCTTTTCTGCTCACCCAGTCAATCTGTTACAAGGTTGTGTGTCTAACCAGAATCCTCCCAGACTCCACGCTTTCCTTCAGCCATGAAGTTAATCATTTGGATTCTCAATTTCATTATATAAAAACAATGCAATTCAGTTCCTTTTTAAATAGGGAATACAACTGAACAAAAACTTTTAGATGCCATTCCTTTACCTATGATGAACCCATTATCTACCACACTGCTAGGTGATATTTAAAACGCACATAGCTATACACACACTTGTCCAGGCTTTGAAAGTAAGCCCTTACGAACCTTACAGCCTGGTTCTTTCAGCTCATCATCTATTCTTATTGTGAATCTCTCTCAAGAAACGACTACTCACAGCATTATATAACTGCTACTTCTTGAAAATTCCTTTTTAAATTATCTAACAAGAAACATAATTATGA